TGTATCTTCCGCGATTTATTTGCTGGTTAACGAGTTTTCCAAAATCCTAAGAATTTAAATTTGATGTAGCAAATATTCATCAATTTTTTTAAATTAGTAACTTGGTATAATATGCACATCTGAGTTTTATCCATAATTTTAGCGGAAAGAAGATTGAGTGCCACTCTTAGCCTAAATTACTGAAGCTTAAGTGAATATTAGATTAAGTACATAACTTCTGGTTAAATTGCATATTTAGTGAGTATTTGTGTTTGTCTGTTTATTTGATGATATTATTATTTTCTAGCCTCATGATGCACTCTTCCAATGGGTCGATGGTCCTCTTGTCCAGGCCATGCTAGCTGGGGACTTTTTTCTTATTGATGAAATTTCCTTAGCAGATGATGCAGTATTGGAACGCCTTAACAGTCTTCTGGAGCCCGAACGCAATCTAACTCTTGCAGAACGTGTCTCAGAGGCCAACCAACTCAAACCCCTTGTTCCGAAAACTTCAGCTCCAGATCAATATTCCTCGAATTCGACACTTAATCACATACTGCAGGACTCTATTTTGATTTCTGCATCTCCAAGTTTCCGTCTCTTTGCTACAATGAATCCAGGTGGAGACTATGGTAAAAAGGAGCTCTCTCCGGCGCTGCGGAATAGGTTTACCGAAATCTGGGCCCGTTCACCTCATATGCCTTGTTTAGAAAGTACACTGGCTTCCTTAGAGCCAGCCTTAACAGTTGCCGGGGCCGAAATCCCTCTTCAGAATGATTGGTATGCGATTGTTTCGCATAATCTAGGCCTTTATTTCCGGCCTGCCAGCGCAGCTCGTGTAATCGATCATAATTACATCCAATGCCACTTGGCTGACAGTCATCCAGAACCTTGGTTACAATTACTTCCTGAACTTGTATGCCCCATGGCCAAGGCTATGGTTACCTTTCTGGCATGGTATTTTGGCTCAGCATGTCCTAGTTCATTGATTCCTGCACAGCCAGAAAGTGACTATGCAAGCTACCGACCATCCAAGTGAGTCTTCTATTGACAGTAATGACAATTAAATTATTAAAATTTACTTTATTTTCAGCTATTTATGTTTCGATTTCTTCATTATCGCTTTTTATCGCGTCATTGTGCCTATTTTGATTTAATGATTTTGATAAATCTGTTTCACTTTGTATATGCGATTACAGGCCCAGGTAGAGAGGAATTTAACATCTTAATAGAAAACCCATACATAACGTTTTATAATTCTATATATTTGGGGAAATTAATTTGGCCAACTTTTTGTGTGTAGTTATACATTCATTATTAAGTTTTATCCAAATCACGCCTAAAATTTGTCACTACTATTTCGAGTTGGCATAGACTTACAGCTTTTACAAAATGGAACTTTTCATCAAATTTTATTCTAAAATAGATGTTTTGCTATTTTGTCGGTTTATATTGCTCTCTCGAAACTTTGAGGTATTGCATTAAAGCTTTTAAGCAAACTGCATTAGGTTACTCTTATACAGCTGGCAAGTACTCTCTAATT